CAGTATTATTAGAGCTTCAGCAACGGGTACTTTTCTGCACATATTATTTAAGGGCGACCGGAAGTCAGGCAATCTTCCCTGTAAGGTACAGTCAAAATAGGAAGCAGTGTCTTTCTGAATCTATTTACGTTGCTTTCACATTTTATTTCTCCCTCAACCCCACGAGACTATTTCCGTAGCAGAAGCAGGTATCGGTCGTGATGTGTTCAAAAGGCCGGACGTGAAAAATGGGGCGGCGCACCCAGATCTCCTCGTCAATGTGTCAATCAAGAATGACGGCAATAGCGGTCACAACTCTTCAAAAAGAGGGCTGCAGCTGGTAGCCAACAATTCTGTCCGGTGTCCTTTTTTTAACGCCCACCGCTCCAAAGTCATGCGAAATCGCAGCGAACGGGTCCGGACTCACTAACCTGCAGACACTTGATCGATTTTCATTCGCGCACACACACACGCGCACATCCGGACGGTCTCGGACACTTAAAGGCCACTTGAGAAGGCCAACGCTCGACCGACGCAGCATGGGATACTATACACGACAACCTTTCAAGTAATGTAACAAACCAATTGGACATCAACTGAACTTGCTCCGCAATCATATAACAGCAGCTGCCACCACTTTCTCATTGTTTCTCAGGCATGACGTCCTAGACATTAGGGCAGCGTGGCGGGGATGGGAAAGCTCATCAAGAATTCCATCAGGAAATTGCTTGAAGTCTGTAAAGTGTTGCTATATTACAATATCCGTTATAAAGCATCAGAAAGATCTGGTAGCTGAAGAGCGCATGCAGAATATACGTTTAAAAATAAAAAAAGTATTTTTTTAGCAAAGCTGGAAAAATAACCGGAAAATCACAGCAAATGAGGGAAGAGCGCAGGCATCAATACGTTGCCAGATTAGGGCTTGAGGGATGTGATAGGAACGTAACAGTGCGGAGATAATGTAGGAGTTTACGAATTTTAATGAAAAAGCTTTCAATGTAAAGAGAAGATGAAAGCTTAGACGTCGGAGTAACACCAAAGTGGATGAGGAGGAAGGCGGGTCGAGCACCAGATTAATTAATTTATTGTTCTATATTGTTCTACATGGATTTATATATTGTTCTTCCTCATCCGTGCAAATACGCGAACCTTCTCATTCACTCGGTAATACCTCGTTGGGCTGGAGCTCTAAGAATTCGGGACTGGGTAAGGGTCGCAATCGGAAGAAGTACGGGACCGACTCCCGATTATTCAGTAGAAGATCATTGGCTAATGACCATACTGAGACACTGTCCAGGCTACATTTGAGAACCTGGAGAGGTGTATGCTTATCAAGCAGATGAACAATAACCATGTCATCTGCATATTTAACATAAAATCCCTTTGCTTTATCGGTCCTCATTATTTACAAAGCAAAACTGTTCATATGGTTGGACACCAGAATATCTACCATAACCCATAGAACAGATGGCCTTGAGCTAAATTCCAGAGGGATATCTATTTCTTTGTCTAAACTCCCGTCACTAGCACTAGCCCAAAACGTAGCAACAGCCCTAGCCTTAATAACCAACCCTAGCTTTAATCCCCTGAATAACTCCCTTGGAGTTTTATTCATGAACACCTATGATGCGAAGGTATATATTCCCTTGTCCCACTGTTTATATTGATTATAATACCTCTTCGCAT